ATGTCTAAAGTGCTCAGTTCCTTCCTTCATGGCCATGAAGCCACTTCAGCCGACAAAGAGAACAGGATGGCAGTTGGAATTACAGGCTACAAGCCCATCCACAACTGCAATTCAAGCATCCCTTTTAACTTTTACAACTGCGTCAATGTGCAAAATAATTCACAATAATCTTAGCAGAAGTGGTTAAAGCCGTTTAAATTATTTTCACTTATTCAATCAGTGTAAATTTGACGAACTTGATGTGTTTTGATCGTTGCGTTTTATAATTTATTCAGAACAACATACGCAGGATTTGAGAGTTTTTGATAGGTATGTGTCAAGTCATGAAATCAGTTAAAGCAGAAATTATCTGAGCTCTCGTTGAGCTTTACATTCCCACACCAGTGGGCCTCGCATGAAGTTTTTCTCCCTAATTTTTTAACTAGTGTAATCAGGAGCCCATAAGTTGGAGTGAGCAACTCCCACACTGGGCCTATGTCCAGGCGTTTCATGTTGTTTACTGAACTCATTTAGTTGTTATTGAACTATTGTCTATTCATTAAACTACACTACTAACCTAGCCCTTACCCCTGTCAACAATTTTCTTTTCTTTTTCAATTTCTTGAACGTTTGTTTTAATATTGCTCATGCAATACATTTACAGTTGACCTTTAAAAACCAAATTAAGTAATTACACATTTGAACAATAATGCCTGAACTATCAGAATCGAGTATACGTGCTATGTTACATACTTTGACATACTTTCTGGCCTTTCTCCATTTAGTTTGCTTTTCGGTTACCATCAAAACATACAAAGGTGTGTACAGCATGTTCATGGTAGAGGGTGCCAGGCATTATACAAACGTGTAGGAGACTTTGGATCTTTTATTATGTTTAGTATCAACTACAAGTGTTTCACATGTCAAACGTTTTCTAGTTCTCTCCATTTTTAAGCAATATTTTCATTCTAGAGGATTCCCAAGACAGGAAACCACAGCCACACACAGAGCGAGCTTATCGTACAAAGAAATTCACCTGACAGGTTTGATTTTTCAAAAAAAAAAAACAAAATGATAACACTGGCACGGTTGAACTGCTGAATATAAAGCATTCACTGGAGATAAAGTCAAGATGATAAGGGGAACAAGCATAGATTGGTTTTCCTTCGGTAATTGAGATGGTTAGAGGAGTCTGGGTGGAATAATTTCAGTCTTCTTGTCTTTTAGCAATGCAAACAGTTGGCAGACAAGGTATACCTTTTCCCCAGATTCTTATTCTGGCGTCATCACTCCGTGGGACAACTGTTCCTTTGTTGGTAGAGCGATTTTCAAGTAAGGAAAAATTCATAAAAAACCTGTAATGTTAAATTGTAATAAATCCAAGTATTTTTTGCGATTTGTCTTTAACACAGTGTTCAATTTTCCAATTAAAGTTGTAATGTATTTTTCAGGATGGTTAACGCAGAATGAACTCAAAGAGGCAATAACAAAAAGCCACCCAAACCCTTCATTCGTTTTTTTGAGGGTTAGTACACATACATGTCGAATTTTATGTTACCCATCCATTGGTTTGACTATTTATAAAGGAAAAAGAGGGAAAAACAGTTATCCACAAAGAAGAGAGAACATCCAGAAAGGATTGTAACTCACAAGGTACCAGACTTCAGCTAAGCTTCCGTTTCCAGATTTCTCATATGGTATTGGGAATCACGCCAAAAGGGCAAAAAAGGCTTTTGATCAGGTAGAGTGTGACAGTAGGGTAGGATGATAAATATCTGTGAAATCTTTAATCAACTATAATAAATATCATTATTTGAAAAGTATTTTTCATTTTAATGTTGAACATGACCCTATCACAAAGACAATCTCTGTGCTTCTAATCACATTTCCCATCCCATTAAATGTCTGCTGGTCTCAAGCCGGTATTTAATAGAATGTTCGCCATCCTTACTTTGGGTAGTGTGTTACTTTAGACAGGAAGGCCTTCTACTTTTATATACTGACCTCTCTTCTGCATTTTCTTCAGCATGAGCTAAAAATCAATTACCTACATAGTGTATATGTTTATATTTTTGCACATTATTTCAGTATTCTCAGTCTGTATTATATAATATATATTGCCAGGTTTGAAGGCATTTGGCTTTATGCTGATTATAACAATTATTGCTTGTTCATTTGGCCTGTTATTTGCATCTCAACTGCCACTGTGGTAGACTTGTCTAATGATGGAGGTGACCAGGTATGCAAACCAAATTTGACTAGTGCGAACCAGCTACTTATTAGTGATGAGTCAGGGATTCCAACTTTGGTATAGCCTTGGTGGCCACGAAAATGGTGTACTGGTGACCAAAAGTACATGATGCTAGTATATCTTTCATGTTAACGCAAGTACAGTTCCATGCACAAACCATTTATTTTCTAAGATAATAAACTTAATTATTTTTCTTATGTTATATTAATTCAGAAAATTCTCATAGTTTCACTATTAGCTTGGCTATGTCATACATTCTGTACCATTACTTCATGGAAGTCATGGCTCTTTTGTGTTTTATTGGAGTCTGTCAAATGCATCCCAAACACAGTGATTGATCCACCCAAACCTGGAACTGATGGAGGTTATATGGTAAGTGAGAAGAGTTTAGCTAATGCAATTCATAATATGGAATGCTTGGCTATCCTCACTGCATATATATATATGTTGTTTTCATTTTTAGGCTCATCTCCATGGAAGAGAGAATAAGTGAGTAACTTTAGGTCTTCACTTTCACAAGAGATGAATGTTTTCCTAAAATGTCATAAGGCCAACCCTTACTAAACTCTGTTAAGTTTGATATGTCTGATGTGTAAAATATGCTTTTCTTCTAATACTTTATTATTATAATTAAATTTCTTTCTTATGGTGTGACAGTCTCACCAGATACTTTTTCTGTTTATGTTTATGGGGGGTTGTATTTAAATTATACTTGTTATGTATACCTTAATCAGCATATAGTAAAATAAATCAACAAGGCAGAGCAAGAGGGGTGGGCAGCTGGTACAAATTTGTCTGCAAGGAATAATCTCCCTTGATAACAGCTGGCAATTTATGTTAAATGGCTGTTTCCTTCTTATCAAGTATGATTTTACACCAATTTAGCTTTGTACCAATGATACCTAACTGCTCATTCATCTTGTTTATTAAGATGCTGTGATTTATTGACTCCAGCATTCTGGATAACAAAACAACTCCGTTTACCATATTTTCAAGCAATCTGTCACACATTTAGATGAGGACCGTAACTGTCAAGTGATTTGGCTGGAATCCAGACAAATTTTGATCACATGGGGTTTTCAGCGATGTAATACAGAAAAAATTCTGTCTGTCTCCAGATTCAAAAAATGGGCATAACACAAACCCATTTCCATTCATCTATGTAAATGCCCATTGTCATTAAATTTTATCCAAACCAGTTGCTTAAGAAGGCCTTAAAATTTTCAGAAATGGGATAACACTATCGACAAGACTTTGTGAACATTCAAAATCCACTAAGATGACTGGTTAGCATCATCAATTATTACCAGTAGATCAGCATTGACGGATGTCACCACATTCTGCTGCACACTTTGACCCCATGTTAATAAGTCTAATAAAATAGCCATTGACAGATTAAGACATAAAATTTAGAATCGGATAATACATTCACAGAATTTGACTCCACTAAAGAAAGTCCAGTCCTTTTCAATGTCCAGATAAGAGTTAAAGGAAATCAAAGTGACGCATCAGCAAGGATTATTAGGAAGGAGGTATTCATTAATAAACACAACGAATTAAAATTTTTAATCTCTTTGTGACCTCCCCTGCAACAATCTTTTTCAGTAAAGGTGCAATAATCTAAGATTTACCAACGCTGCCCCAAGTTTGTACCACAGGACCCTTTCCAAAATATCCCACTAAGCTTTTTTACACTACCTATGTCAGGAGTTTTCAATGTGTGTGGTTCCATCAGATTCAGATGGAAAGGCGAGGCACACTTATCATCACAAAAGACCACAAATTAGGCCCGTGATGACCCCTCATGTTGATCTACTTCACTATCAGTATAGGGGAAACTATATAGCCACAATCAATAAAGGAACCTTTTACACAAAGCGTAAGCTGTGACACTCTTAAGGCAAATATCTGACCATAACCACAAGGCAACCACAGTCTCTGCTACATACAAAAAAGATATATGCCCTGCAATTTTAAGTAAAATCCAAAAACCAACTCAAAGACAAATAGACGAAATTCACAGATTAAATTAAGGTGTACAGCAAAGCGTCATGCTGAGATAATGGCAAGTTAAAGATAACTACCTTTGAAAGGTTAAGAACAACCAAAGACCCACAGCTTGATCAGTGCTCGGTACACTGGTTAAAAAACCAAAGAAGTCAAGGTATTAAAAAATTCTTTGTTCACTTTTCTGACACTACATTTGAGAGTCTACAACATACCTGTACCTGTACAAATGAGTATTTTTATGACCTATATCAAGTTTACAGATTTCTCCCTTATGTCACATGCAACCCAGCATGGCCAGCATTGCAACCTGACATAACTGTTAAGGATTCCATTACTTAGCAGTAGTATCATATTGTGTGCAACCTGTCTCATTTAATATTTAGTTTAGTACTCAGCAACTACAATTTATTATTCATCATTCATTCATCATGTGTTTGTAGCAGTCCTGAGCATTATTCAGCAACTCGCTTTTTTTCGGATCTGAATTTCTTGTAGAAATATGACATGGCACCACATAGAATACGGATGTGTTAACTAAAGCAACAACCCCAGTGGTGCAAAACCATCAAAGCATTGTCAACAATGAAACGTTTCTTCCCATTTGTTATTCAAAGTGAAAATTAAAGAACCCTCCTGCTTTTCTTACCTTTGCGGCAATCATTTTGCAACTGAATGTTTTAAGCCTGGATCCTTATTATTATGATCCAAACGCAAGACAAATGCGTAAAGCTCCAGTTAATCAATCAGTCAATGTTGCAAGCAAATCAACACCAGGCAAAATCATAAAGTTGAAATGTAGTCTCAATCTAACACTGTTAAAAGCAAATCTGAAGGAGCAGTACAAATACCATTGTGCAAGAGTCTGAGGTATGCACAATCCTGTAAATGTTATGCTAATTGGGTTTTGAATGAAATTTTAAAAACTGTATACACTCTGTCCATTTTTTTGTATTTGACCATTCATAACATACGTATAGTTCAAAACACAACACAAGATGTTTCTCACATTATGCCCTTCACTTCTGCAACCATGTTGGCGAATATCTTCAAGTTTATTTTGATCACTTTATGCAGCTATTGAATTTACTTGAAAATATGATACACTAATTATTCTTGAATTATAATGATACAAACAATTTTAAAGGTTTTTGCACTCTCAGTTACCTGTGCAAAGGGAAACCTACCAGTAAGTAAGTTCACAGGAGATCCATAACTCGATAAACAAATTGTTACAAATGCATGACCTAATTCCTTTTTAACATAGTTCAACAAACTTTATTTCTGATTTGCTTTTTGATTAATTGCAAAATTCTCCACTGCACAGCATAGAAAAACAAACTCCTGTCTATTGACTGTTAATAAACACACCAGAATCATTTAGTTTGAAATCAACTGGGTGCTTCTAAACAAATTAACAGCACAAATTCGGCTATTGTGTTAACAATCAATGGAAACAAAATAGAAACAAGGGCAAGAGATAAACAATGTAATGTTCAGCCCAAATAAAGCTGCTTTGGATGAAAGCTGCTAGTCAAAGGACCAGTAAATATTTCGCTACTTTCAATGTTTTAAACAATAATCAATCCAAAAGGAAAAAATACATGTTGTCAAGCATAAATGTTAGACCGAGTTGAAGACTGAACAAGGCTGAGAAATAACAAGTAGGCTGTTGTTTCAGAGAACTTTCTCTTCACTACTGGTGTTATTTTCATGGACAGAAGGAAGCCTATTTTGCTAGTGCTAGCCACAGCAATTATTACGTTTCATCAATGAAATTATTGTTAAAAATAAATCATATTATAAATTTAATATTGGAATACAGTTGGGTAATTAACGACTACCACAGAATTACTTAGGACTGGTCTACTTCCAGCTCAACAAATCACAACACTGGTGATATAAAATTTTAAGGTCAAGCAAAGTGCATTATTGTTTGCCATTACTGTATACATAATGATTTATTTCTTAAAGGATTAAAAAAAAAACATAGAAAAGGGGTACGCTGTGTCCTGACATATTTTGCTCTTTTATTGACAGATGATTGTCAGTCTTTATTACTTTGGCTCTGATGATTTGCAAAAGATTTCCACTACTTCAGACTTCCAAGTGTCAAAAGGAATTGGGGCAAACAATGGATTAGATTTCATGCCATCGAGGATTTTAACTCCCTTAGCCAGGCAATCAGAAAATCCCTAAATCTAAATATTGTTAGACATGATCTTTTAAAAAAAAAACATAGAAAAGGGGTACGCTGTGTCCTGACATATTTTGCTCTTTTATTGACAGATGATTGTCAGTCTTTATTACTTTGGCTCTGATGATTTGCAAAAGATTTCCACTACTTCTTCTGTTGGTTTGAGTGGCTACAAGCCCACTTCCAAAAAAACTGGAAAGTTCTTCATCACTGTCTTAAATTATTAGAGACTTTGGTAGAAGTTATTCAGAGACTAAAATCAGATATTAATGAAGACATGTGCACTACCACATGGAAAGAGACATTTTGAACACAGCAACTGGGGACTTAAATAGGGCAAGCACATCCACATGTTTAGAAAATTTGTCAACTACAGGAGCAGTCATTAAATTTCTTGGTTAACAAGATTTTAAGAAGGTTGGGCATTAGGGATCTGAGATCAAATAATTCTCCATTTACTACACAAAATTCTCTAACTAATGTTCAATAGCCTACGACTATATTTTTTTCAGATGTGGAGCCTCTTTCGAAACATTTTACCTGTAAAGTTGCACCTTTTTCCTCCTATTAGCATTCTTAATGAAAACCCTGTCCAGTAACTCTCTCATAGCAACCACCTCAAGTGAAAGAACACCACCAAAATTATCACATAAGCAACCACTATACTACTTAAAGGGACCACCACCAATCTTTGCAACACATAAGGCAAATGACAAGACTAAGCCATACATAACAGAGCTGCCATGACCATTCCACCCAATGTCCAACACAAGTCCACCTCCACAACTCAAAATTTCCATCTGCTTCAATTCATCCCTGTCCAAACTTCATGTGATGCTTATGAATTCAGTTTCTGGCCAAGGACCATTAACGATTGGAACTCTCTACCACATTATGTAGACCTTGTTTGGAAAGACAAGCATAATGTAATGTTAATGTCCATTTTGCAAATCTTGCAGAATAAGGTTGCTAAAATAATTTTAGACAGACCTCTTTATTCATCTTCTACGCATGCGCTTGACACTCTTAAGTGGGTTCCATTAGAAAATTGGCATTTTCAGAGAAGATCTATTTATGTAGATAGGTGTTTAAATGGACTTTTTGAGCATGATATGAACTTCATGAGACAGCAACAACAGCATGATTTTAACACCAGAACTAAGCTAAATTTCAGACTTCCAAGTGTCAAAAGGAATTGGGGCAAACAATGGATTAGATTTCATGCCATCGAGGATTTTAACTCCCTTAGCCAGGCAATCAGAAAATCCCTAAATCTAAATATTGTTAGA